ATCTGGGGGACAGAGACACACAGAAACAGTAAGGGAGGCTAGGTGCACGTGGGAGCAAGTCTGAAATGGTAAGAAGAGGGGAGCCCCACCCCCCCTTGAGGGGTTCACAGGTGAAGGTGAGGCTCTAGGCAGTTAGAAAGGCCCGGAGACAAAACTTGGAGGAGTGGGGAGAAGCGGAGAGGGATCGCAGAGGTGCTGCAGACCTGCAGGAGACCACGGAGGAGAAGACTGCAGGGGGTGCTTCCGTGTGACAGAGGGACACGACCAGACCGGGAAAGGTAAAGAAACCCTGTCCACTTGGGGAAGCATAAAGGTGGCAGAGCGGCAAAACTGCCAGAAGAAATGACACACAGGTCAGTGGCGGGTGTCTGGAAAGAGGGATAACTACAAGATGGACCTAGAAGGTGGCCTCCCATCTGTGAGAGTAAGAGGAAACCTCAACAGCTGCGTGAGAACATTTGGGCCATGAGATCCAAGAGCTAGACACCTGGTAGAGGGGAAGTCGAGTTACTGTTCACAGAGCCAGAGATAGGAACCTGCCTGCCCTTCTGCCCCTCCTGGTCCCGCTCTGCTCATCTTTTGTGGAAAGTTCTGGTTCTTCTGGCGAGAGGGAGAAGACGGCTTTGGTCAGGATCTGGCTGTGGAGGGGCCGGGGTGGAAGAAGGTAGGAAATGCGCCCATATTTCAATGAAACAGGGACCAAACTGATGGCTTTCCCCATTGTACGCTCGGCAGTCAGACACTGCAGCACCAGCACCTCTCTCATTCCCATGGACTGGAAGGAAGACATCTGGAAGCCGCCTCCAGGTCAGAAGCCACGCTGGGGCCCTGTGAGCCCCTTCCCCATCTTTGCTGTTCTTGCATCCTCCCCAGAACTGCCTCTCCGCCCCTTAAACCCCACTGCCGCACACATTCAGAGGGACACGTGGGGCTGGGGCCAGGGCCAGGAGAAGTGAGTGAGGAGTCAGACTGGTGACATCAAAATGACCGAAATTAGGGTTAGGGTATCAGAATAAGAGAAGGTGTAAAGGATGAAACATCAAATTCTGTCCCCTTCGTGGGACAGTGAACGTGACTGGACAGCACAAACGGCCTCTGAGCTCCCTTCAGTGGAAAGCTCTGAGCAGAAGTTGTGAAAATTCCAGCCTCTGTCCACAGACACGTTCCCCAGATCAGCCCCGCCTGCAGCGAGAGGAGCCCACAGCACATGTCGAGGAGCCACACCGGTTGGAAATGCCTGCCTCAACACCATCTCAGAGACTCGGCTCCCCCTGCATACGGAGGTCACAGATGCCCAGACCACAAGACTGTGGACACCACATGCCCAGGGCTGCAGCTCAGGGAAGCATTTTAGACTTCTCCTGGGAGCAGGAAGGACACAGGGAATCTAGGCGCAGCTCTGGCAACACATGTGCGTACACACACACACACATACACACAGTCTGGACCTAGGAGAGAACGATATTGATCCCAGGATGCAGAGGAACATGGCTGATAAAGGAGAAAATGTATAGATGGGACTCCCCACAAGGGCTCAGAGGAAGACCCCTTATAGCTCCCATCCAGACTATCAGAACCTCAGTATCTTTGTACCCCAAATCTCCAGCATTCTAGGAAGTAGTGGAGACAAGGAAAGAGGAATGGCGATAAAGACTGGGGTATTAAGGGAAAGCACAGGAGTACAGAGAGTGACCACGTGGGGTAGGAAACAGGCCGGGCCAGGGGTTGATAAATAAACAGAATGGATGTATCAGAAAACAGAGACCATGGTAAATTCCTATTGACACTGGAATGCACCAGAAGGGCTCAACCAGACAGGAGGCAGAAGAAACGAGAAGGTCCTAATGGAAGACTAAGACATGGGGTCAAGAAGGGGTAGTAGAGAGGTGACTCTCAGACAGCAGAGCGAAAGAGACGGAATGGTTATCAGAGAGGGGACTGATATAGGGGAAGCACAAAAAGGGGACTCATATAAGGAACGGACACCATATGGGGGGAAAGATATAGGTGATGGACAGCAGAGGGAGGGAGGGGGAATGGAAATAAGGATGGGGGAGGGGCTTAAGTGGTGAAGTGAAGAAAGCACATTAAGACCCCAGAGGCTGCATTTCACTTGTCCAGAGCCGTATTGAGGGTCTGAGTCCTGGGGGAAGATCTTATGGGCCTCTACTCCCCATCACTCAGTCTTACTTGTATCCCCCCCAAAAACCCCACATACATAATCCGGCCCTCCCCCTGCCCTGGCCTCCCCTCCCCCAGCCTTTCCCTCTCTCCTCTTCCCTCCATCTGGACCTCCACCCCCCCACTGCCTCCCTCTCTCTCCATCTGGCCCCTTCTCTCCATCCTCCTCTTTTCCTAAGCCCTACCATTCGGTGAGCCCCCCATCTTCTCCCCCCATCTTCTTGGCTTCTGATCTTCACCCCTATATTTTCATTTCCCCCCTCTCAGTCTCTGCTGAGACTCTGTTTCCTCGCTGTTTTCCTCACCACTCAGCTCCCACCCGCCAAATGATTTCTGCAGCCCTTCCACCTCCCCACCCCTCTGGCGCTCTTTCCCCTCCCTCACTTCCCCTCA